ACATACTTTACCTTTAATTAATTAAAACTAAATCCATAACATGATCCCATGATGGGAACATCTAAAAGGTTCTATATATGACAGAAGCCTTTAAAACCCCCCTGTGGTGAAAATCAAGCTTTTAATGTTGTTTATGTGTTTAGGTGGTGTTTTTAATATGCTTTAAGAGAAACCATGTGCAAATTCAAAAGTCGACAGCATTGCTGAGTATTTTCTCATTAAAACTGAACCAAAGACAGTCTCAAAAACACGGTTTGAAATCGCTGGTGTTTCTGACGTCACAAACGACCTTGTAACCAATCAGATCAACGTGTGATCGCCACCCAGTGGATCTCTGAGCTGAGTGAGTGAGTGGAGGCGGGGCTCATTTGCATATTCATAGAACTTCATATTACTTCTCACCTGGTCAGTGATTTGCAAGCAAATCTTCTCATAAATCTTTTATTTGGAACAACAGAGACATTCTGTAATAATAGCAAACCAGTGTTAATTTCGTTGACGAAAATAACGACGAAAATTATTCGTCAACGACATTTTTTTCACAGACGAAAACGAGACGATAACTAAATAAAAACTAGTTTTGAATGACAAAGACTATGACGAAAATCTATTGACATTTTCGTCAACGAATAAAAACTAGACGAAAATGTTAGATAGTGACGATTTGGGAAGCGATCCGTCAGAACTGATGTCCTGCGTGTGTGGTAGATGCGCACATTTGTAGGCTACTGTAACGTGATCTACCCCGCGGTCATAAAACGTTAAAAAATGTGAACGTCTGGGAGAATGAGTAGGGCAGACATATAGATCTCTGAATAAGAGTGACGATGCAAAAAAGAGCTCTATTCGGTGCGGTTTTCTGTGCGCACACACGACCGAAGCGTCCAGCCATAGACACAATACACCTACAGCGCGCGAGTAGGCTACTGAATTGAGCTCTCTTTCGTGTCTGAATGGAGAAATACACAACAGTATGTCTAAATGTCCTTTTTGGAGAGTATGTAACATGTAAAAGCATGTTACATACTCGCATGTTACATAAGCATGTAAACTATGCTGGTTATGTCTTAAACTGAGTGTGTCGGATGTGCATCAGTGCAATTGTATCCGCATGTCATTGGACATGATCCGACGTCTTAAAGTGACAGTGGCAATAAACCTAATGCAGTCCGTGTCCTTAATTTTGATCAAGCAACAAAAGAAAAAGAGAAAAGCATTCACTGTTTGTTAATAGCTTTAATAAGGATTAATTATATTTAATTCATACAAATAAATATGTCTGCTTGAAAGAATAAAGAATGATGTGTAAGTAGTTATAAGGAATGAATATATCATTCATTGTAAAGAAGACTGTGTTGTACTTTAGGAAAAGTGGTTTTATTTCATTTTAAGATATTTTTTAAGTAACAGCAGTTAAATCTGTATCTGTATTGCATGTTCAAACTTAAAAATCATTCATATTAATAGGTTAATAGATGTTTTCTCCGGGAGTATATGGGTTTGGAAATTTTAGAGAAATTCTAAATTAACGCCTTACAATTGAACTAAACCCATTATATTTTAGTCGACTAAATCTACTGTAGATTTAGTCGACTAAAATGTTATTGTATTTCGTCGACTAAAACTAGACTAAAACTAAAACAATTCAGATGACTAAAATATGACTAAAACTAAATGGCATTTTAGTCAAAAGACTAAGACTAAAACTAAATCAAAATTTGCTGACAAAATTAACACTGTAGCAAACCGTGACTCTTAAACCGTGGCCCTCTCATCCTCTTCCCTTGTCAGGAACAAATCCGCCTAGATTACCATGTCCTTCAAGAAGTTACCTTTGACAAGAAATGCTACAAGCAATCAGAGAGTTATCACCAAAATAAAACAAAATGTAATAAAAACCAAATCCTCATTACAAATAATTGCATCATCACACTATCAGGGTGTGCATTTCAGTGGAAGTAATGTGACGACAGGCTAGGTTGCAAAATGTATGACACAAAAACAACCAAATTTAACGTAAGCCGACACATCATGACAGCAAATTAGCAGCAGACACTTCCACATCATAGACAATGAACATCAATCGTGGCATTTTAGAGCCAATGCTGATGATAAATAATATCATTAGACTGGCACAACAGATGATTAAATATGCAACAGACTGTGATAATAAACCTATGGTTTATTTGAGGAAAGTGTTATTATTATGCAGAATCACAGCAAATGTGCATGATTGTTGCTGAGTTGGTAAATGTAGAGATTGACCAGTAATTCTGCTCATTTCCCTATAGTGACCCGACTTGTACCCGCATACACTGTAAAAAAACTTAACTCATTATTTTGTGTTATCTTTTTGCATGGGTTTTTTTTAGTTTAACTAACTTATTTCGATAAGTTGAGGACAAGAAAACTTAAAATTTCTTGTTGTCTGGACAATCTAGTTATCTCTATACAAAAAAATAAGTTGAAATAACTAAATTGCTAAAATATTTTTTACAATGTAGGGAGCCCATTTGGGAACTACCCAAGTTGCCCCAGATAAAATGCCCATTTTGGGCCAATGCCCAGAGTAATACACATGCAAATACACATGTTGACTGGGATTTAGAGGCGATACAGTGCCATATCATCTCATCTCAACTCCGAACTTACAAACATCTGTGATCAAATATTTTGGAATGATGACTTTGGACATTTTGCAGGATTTTGCTTGTCTTCTAGTCTAGTTTTCTTACAGTTAATTATCTAGTAGAAGACAGCACAATATAAATTGACATTTCTAAATTGGTTGGGCTGATTGTTACTCATTTGTAACTGTGATGAAGAACAACGTCCTCGCCATTTCTTATAGAATATTTGGCAGCTAAACTGTGGAAGCGTGTGTTAGTTGTGCTGGTTTGTGATGGAAGGCCAACTGAACCTTAGCATCCACAGATGTCCATGTCTACAGTGATGTGTGTGTGCTGCTTCCAGAGATCAGAGCTTAATGAGGACTATATTTCTCTGTTTACCAGGATAATGTCTCTACGTAGGCTGGGAATCACACAATGGAAAAGGAGACGGCAGGAGGGCAACGCTTACACAAATTGCAGCTTTTAAACGATTGCCTCTAATATGCTGCTTTGCTCAACACCACCACAGATTGGATTTCAGTGTTTTAGTTTCTTGACACACAATAGCTTTTTACATCAGTTGTAGATAACTTTAAAATATCTTTTCACGATTCTGCCTTGTGTCACGTGTGTTTGTTTAATCTATCAGCACTTCTGGTCTAAAGGCCCGTTCACACCTGGAACGATAACTACACAGTAAAAAAGGTTGGGTTATTTTTTTAATAACCATATCGGGTCACATATTCACATATTTTGGATTATTTTCCAAAGATGTTAGGTCATTTTGGGTAATTTAACCGGCTGTTGGGTTAAATACGTATGTTGTATGTACACTTGTGTATTTTGAATTTATGTACACAATTCTGTATATTTTTACATTAACTTCTAGACTCCCCAATATTTAGTTTGTAATTTAAAAATATATTTGTTGAGTCATATTTAGTGTTTTTTTTACAATTAAACAATCTGTATTTGAAAACAACACGTATTTTATTTATTATAATAATAATAAATCATATAAATAAAAATGAATGGACAACTTAAACGTTGGGCATTGGGTTAAAATAACCCACCATTGGGAAAGTGCTATATCACCCCATATTTGGGTTACTCGTTGGGTTATTTTTAACTCAACATTATTAAGTGAGTATAAAGATAACTACAGTATAACAAACTAGATTAGAGTCCACACACGATATTGTTCTGTTGTTGTTTTTTTTCTTTTAGTATGAATATGTTAGCCTTACTGTTATCTATAAGCTAGTGTGCTCCAAAACATTGACACAATTCACATTTAGAAGATATAAGCATTCAAAGAAATCTTAGTCTCTCACTTCTGCTAATATGGATCAATGATTTTGATGACATCACTGCATTTCAGCTTCTCATCAGATTTTCTGTCCAATCAAATGCTTTCTAGAATCTGAGGCTCCGCCCCCTACATTATAAATAGATGCTGAAGCTGCGGCTAAAATCGGTCACTTGTTGGGAACGATTCAGACAGTGTCAGACTCATAAACAAGTCACACATGCTTTCCATCAGGGCGAATGAAGTCTGGTTTCATGTTAGTGTCACCTCCGCAGATCCAGTCCAGAGACACGACAGCACAGAGCGCGACATGTGCACGAATCGCCCCGCAGACCAGAAAACATATCAGATCCATTTGAATTATGCACCAAATGCTGTATTTGGAGGAGATTAGGAGGAAACTGCAGCTTTACCGAGCTCGGTGGCTCTGGCTGAGCTGAGGTATAAAACAAACCCTATTGGCTATTTAAAAAAAGGGGTGGAGCTGTTCAATATGCCCCGCCCTGTCTTCCTGTTTTAGTGGAAATTACGTCAACACATTGAATAATGTTTCATGACACTTCAGTGGGCCTTTAATATATGCACATGCTACAATTTTGTCTGCCATTTTTAATGCTGAAGCGCTTTAAAGCAGGATGTTTTCTGATTGGTTCATCAGCTGAAAAATTCAGATTCCAGCGATATATTGTTATAGTTATGGTGTTAAGGGGGCCTTAAGAGTAATTTATTTGACAAGGTTTCAATATTGTAATATTTGCAATTTACACGTGTTCTACCAAGTAATGTTATTCGATTTTTTGTAAGTAATTTTCATTAGTGAAAAAGTGTTTATAGCTGTTTTAAACGAACTAAACCCTGACCTCTCAATAGAATATTTACGTTATTAATCTGCATTTATTAGAAAATATGATCCAGCAGAGTCACAATACATTTTTATGTTTATGTATTGCGACGTTACATTTTGATAAAAGGAAAAACAAAACTTTGTGGCCTTTTCACCTGTAGCACCTCCCCTTCACGCACACGTCACGAGCCTCTGAGCACTGAGGGCGCGCGCACTCTGACGCGCCGGAGCCAGAGAGACGCGCGAGGCACCGAGCGAGCGCGCTTACGAGACTGCGCCCATCATCACCAGCACCACCACACCACACCACACCACACCGAGACCCCGCAGCCCGAACAATGGCAGCATCCAGCGGCTGATGCACAGATGGAGACACGCTGGAGCTGACGAGTGGTCTTTTAAGACGCCGTCCTTACAGATGGAGCGATAGAGGAGAGAGAATCCGCGGGCTGTTCTCCATCACTGACGGGAGGCGCGTCCACCTGTGCTCGCACTGGAGGCCCGGGATGCGCGAAAACATGCACAAGTGCCTCTGATTAAAGGAAATTATTTCAACATTGTGGTCAAAAGAACTCGGCGTTAAGAAATAAACACATTCTGTCAGCATAAAGAATGGGTAAGTGCTGTTCTGCATGAAATACGGACGAAAACGCACCACTTTGACAATATGCATGCATATGACTGTTCTCATACAGTGCATATCGATATTATGAGATGTGATGAGGAGGAGGTGTTCGTAATGTGCGTATTAATGTTACTTTTGGATCCATGAAAGCCTGCTCACTTCTGACACTTGACTCAAAACCAAGGTTTTTTTTTTTTTGGTTGGGGGGTGCATGTGTCGTAAAACCTAGTGCGCTGGCACTGGTTTGGGCACCATAGACTCAACCAATACTGACAGCATAGTGGAACATCATGATCTCTCTCTAGAGCTGCATACATAGACATTTTTTGGGGGGCTCCATATGGTGCCCAAGAAAAAAAAAACAGTGAGGCGACCAATCGTTTTTGGACATTATGATTTCCTATAGAGGGCATTTTGGGGATTCTTCGTTGCCTCACTAGAAAGCATTATTGGTCATTATAAGTGGACTGCTGACTTAGATGTCATGTATGCTCAATGATAGGTAGTGTTGGATCACTCTTGCCTAATACTCTTATTGTCTTGTGCCAAAAAGTGCAGATGAAACAAACACATGAGGTCATTTTCAATAGAAAAAACGGAGTACTAAACTACATAATGGTGCTTGTGTCCCTTCAAGATGCGTAATAGTTCATTAACTTGTTGTCCTTATTCAGTAACAGTATGGAAATGCAGCGTTTGTCTCATCAACCTCAAGTTCTCTAGGTTTGACGGACCTAGACAGCATTTCTGGGCATTATGGTCTCCAAACCTAGTGAGCACTCCTGACCATCAGTGGCTGTGTGTGTGCAGATAAAGCTTGTGTCTCAGATGCTTGATCCATTTGAAGAACTATGTGGTGACGACTGTTTGTTTGTAGTCATCTAAAAGAACTGAATCTCTTCTGATTGAATACATTGGCAGTTTTGAGCACTATGTCAGCTCAATCTGTGCCGCTCACTCACTGAGTCACAAGTCTATCAATGGCCTAGTGTGTTTCTTTCGTTCTTTTTTCCCTGCGTTTGGTCATACCGTCTGCTGGTTTCCTTCCCTATGGTCTTCTCAACAATGCCCTCTGAGATGATGGCTGTTTTCGAGGTGAACAGATGGCATTGAACCAGTGAGATTGACGTATTGCGAGAGAAGTAAAATAGACCTCTTCCACCCCCACATTGCATTTGTTCTCAATCATTTTTGATTGAATGACATTCCAGTTCTGGTTACTCTTTTTTCTTTAGTTGTTTTAGCCTTTATTTTGCAGCGTTCCATTAATTCCACCGTTATTTTTCTCTTTATAAAACAGCTCGCTTGCATTGATTTGCCTTGGACTGCAAGCATCGTCACTGTGAGTGTATTGTTTTCGTTCGTTTAATTGAAAGATCTTGGCCTAAAGGATTTCTGAAAGCTTCTTTACTACTTAGCTACTGCAGTGGGAACAATCCCTTATTAGCCACATTACAACAACGGTTTTGCTAAGTGATTATGTGGTGAGAGGAGAACATAGGCTACCTTGATGATTCACAGGAAACTTGAGTATGTTTCAATTAGCGAGACCAAGTTACGGCCCAGGCAGACTAATCGCTGTTCTTCAGTCGTTATGAGATTATCAGCATTAGCGGCTATTAATGCCTGATTAACTGCTCATTGCACCAAAATGTTGTTAGTTCTAATAGGGTCGTCTAATAAATGTGATTTTTGTTTTTAAATATTTTGAATGGAATTTGGCAGAAATATTGTGCAAAATACTGTTGATTTGATCTTATTTGCTATCATTTATCTGTTATCAGCTATATAGATATATAGGCGGGATTTCTTTAACCCTTTAACTTGATGATTTCATTGCTTCAGTGCTGCTGTTGCACTGGACACATACTATACACATCAATTCTTTTCAAGGGTGCATTTGGTGTGTATACATTTATGAATTATATCATTTGGTTATTTAGTGTTCCTTTTGGAGTCTCCAAGTGTCCTTTTTTGTAAAGACGGGTGTAACGGGACACAGAACTGACGGTTCGGTACGCACCTCGGTGTTGGCGTCAAGGTTCGGTACGGCAGGAGGGAGAAAACTAAACATAAAATTGCTTTTTTTTTTATTAAACAGTGGTTTACTGAACAAATCGTGTCTCTGTCTTCAAATTTATTCAATTAAGGATAAAAAAAATGATCTCTGCTAATGGTAAACTATAGGAGCCCTACTTGCACATTACTAGGTGAACAACAGAGCCCGAACAATTACCCTAAATTCAGTTGCCATTTACTTTTAGATATAATAATCAACAATCAAATAACAAATTGTATGCAAACAAGGCCGTTTTTGCATTCACTTCTAAATCTAATTATTATATGTTTTTACACCAATTTGTTGTTGAAATATGATCATTTACACAGTGGCTGGCATTTTTATGACAGGTTTATTTAACCTGCATTAAATAATCAAGACATCAATATAATGAATATATATAGCCTAGGCTAATATATTGCTTAGCGAAAGAGTTCATTTCTCTAGCCGACGAACAAGCTGTAGACACTGAATGACTTTCCTGAGGTAAATGTTACAAGCTTGTAAAAAGTTTACGAGCTCTTTTATTATGATATGATGCGTTTTCTTTGTTTGATTTCGTGATAAAATGGACAGAATTTGAAAAATGACACTTTCTTTCTTATCGAAAGTATCAAAACGCAGAGCTTTATTGCGATTAATGTTGGTTAATGGTGGTTGGGCTACAATGCTGTGTTCATCGTGTTCTGCTTCCGTAATTCACCAGGAAACCCAAGCGTTCCCAAACAGGAGACCTTAATGTTACAATGGTGCGAATACACGTACCGCTACACCCCTAAAAGACACCTAAACTGACCTCATAAAAAGCTTGCAGAAAATACAGTTTTGTGAGAATCACCCTTCAATCTGATGCTGGATATAGCAAATGATGACAAAATAAACATGATAAACAAGATTAAGGGTGTATGCTTGATTTCACGAGTGTGCGATTAATGGTTTTTAAAAATTGTAATAGCCTTCTGTCACATTAGAATCATTAAAAAAATAGGTCCACCAATCATTCGCTGATTTGCATTGTCCACACTGATATCAGTCGCACTCGGTCGCTACACGCTTCATGTTCAGCGACTGCGATTCTTCAGTCATATTGCAGCATGTCTTCTCTCGGAGCGTGAGACGGCGCTGTAATTAAACAGAGGTGAGGTCCATGGGAGATTGTTCCGCTTCTGATTGCTTTTCATGGCCGGAGGGGGAGAGAGCTCAGGCTTTTCCTCAGGGACAGAGAGAGTACACGGGCCTCAACGTCAGGCTTCCTGAGACTCACCCGAGGCTCGAGTTCAGGAGCCAGTGTAAGGTTTCAGCTCAGTGAATGCCGTCACAGAGATATTTATTATAATTCACGTTTGGCCTGTTAAAATGTCTTCCTTTTGATTGGACATTGTTCTCTAATTGACGATAAAGTGCAACATGCGGCCTCCGGAAGTAAAAAAAAAAGAAGATTTTTTTAACCATATCTTAAAACCTTTAATAGACAAAGTTCAGAGGTTGTTGATCAATGCTAAATGCTTCAGTTGAAACCATCTGTTCACATTAGTTCAACTTATTTTTTTAAATAATTGTGTTTAAAAGTGAAATGCGCAGTGAAAACTACATTACCCATGATGCTGTGCAGAAAATATGACCAATGACTCGCAGCGAGCAAGTTGCTCCGAAAGAGTAAATTCCCTCTCTCGTGACGCACCGCAAATGATGTAATAGAGCGGTGCAGGATGATGTCAGAACCCGAAAACTAATTCACCGCTGGTTCCCTCAAGAATTTCCTATGAGGTTTTATATTAAAAAAAAATCAGTTTATTAGTAAAATAAAGCCGGTGGTGAACATAACTTGGCAATACTCTGACGTTTTGTTCTACAAAGTAAATTACACACACCCATAGCCGAAAACGTGACTTTTGAAGCAGTTATGTCTCAAAAATTTATGTCATAACTATGTAAAAAAAAAAAAAAAATTCAAAAAACGGCGCTCCGGCAACGGTTAAGAGGTTAAAACTAGATAAGACGGCTTAGGGTGCGAGTGTGTGCAGTTTATGCTGTAGAACAAAAGGTCAAAGTATCGTCAAGTTATGTTTACCACAGGCTTTATTTTACTCATAAATAACACAAAAACAACAAAAAAAACATTATAAAACCCCACAGGAAATTCTTAAAGGAACCAGCGCCGAATTAGTCTTCAGGGGTTCATTATATATAATCAATAACCTTAAAATATATTGTTTCTATATATAATCAATTTCTTTAAATGAATACTTTTATATTTCACCATGTTTTTAATGCGATTATGTCCTTTACCATGCTTCGTGAGATTGCAGTTGTTCTCCTCATTAAAGCTGTAAAGTTCACACAGTCTTGTACCTTTATCTGTTTGTCAGATTTTCAAGTACTTTTTTGCTTCAAATCGAAACCTAGTAGCTGGTTTGGTTGATTTGTGGCTTATAATGCTTTAACAAAAACTTTCATTAAAATCCCTATGGGAAAAATACGGAACCGATGCCACTGAAAACGAATGCACTAATGCACTCTATACTGAGATGCTTCTAGTAGTTCTGGGCATTAGCCATGCTTTTCTTATGGTGTTGCAGTGTAACTGAACCCTTCAGTAGGGCTGCCTAATTGGATAGTATTTTAGGGCATCTTGGTCTGAATACCTAGTGAGCTGTCTAGACAGAATCTCTGGGCATTTTAGTATAAAATACCATGTCAGTCTGAAAAGAAACCTAGTAAGGTGCCTACCTAGACTGAATTGTGAGTTGCCAACATAGACGGCGTTTTTTGGGCACCATAGTCATAAAATCTAGTGAGCTGCCTACCTAGATGACATTACTGTGCGTCATGGTTTAAAATCAAGTGATCGGTCTACGTATATGTCACTTTTAGGCATCATGGTCTCAAGACCTAGCGAGCAGTCTGTCCAAACCACACCTTTGGACATCACGGTC